CACCCCTATACATTTAATTTTAAAAAAAAGACACAACAGAATTTGGTCAGTATTGAAAGATAGGATTATAAATGGCCTTGATGTTTCAGTTGAGGTACATTTTTTGGACAAACACTATATATTTCTAAACACTTGAGGAAGGGAAAAGTAAAGCTTAAGGAGTGGATGTGGCCTGAAACTACAGAGTCTCGATACAAAATTGTAGATGAAATGATCCTGCAGCTGTGGTGGCTTCCAGTTCGACTTCCAGCAAAACAGGGGGGTCCCCAACCTTACACGTCCGTTTGCCCTGGCAGCGGAAAGTTCAGATCTGTCGTTAGAAGTTTTGCCTCTGTGACATAAAGGTCCCTCTGACCAACACCACATTTTATTTATAAACCTGCTGGCCGGCTGACAGGGGAAGTGCCGGTCGGTGGTGATGTCAATCTCGGGCACTTTTCTGGGTTTTGTTTCTGCCTCGCTCGCTCGGAGCAGGTTTTCGGGAATGGCAGTCCTGGGGGTGGGGGAGTTAGGAGGGAGAGAAAAGTGGGAGCAGGGCTTTGACCTGCCGGAGAGGAGCCCCTGCTGACACGGTCAGTCTGACCCATTGAATGGCCTGAATGCGATAAATGCCGCTTTATCCTGCCTTGAAAGGCACGAGATAGCACAGTCTAAATGCCTGGGCATGCTTAAATAGGCGACTCGGGATGTTTGAGTTGAGCGTGTTTGAAATCTGAGCTCTCTGACAGCCTGGGAGCTGCCACAGGTCACCTGCCTCGCTCCGCAGGGACAGGCCCAGGTCTCGCAAGAAATTGTCCGTAGACGAATTGTAGTACAAATTCCTTTCTTTGTTGGTTGGCCTCTTTCACTAGACCATGGCCTATAAAATTTTGTAAAAACAATTCTTAAATATTATTTGAAAGGGCAAATGGCCCACGCTGAAAGGCTTGACAGTTTGACATATAGAGCAGGGTTTTGATAGCTCGGAAACGGAAAAGTGTGGCCAAGATTCTCTCCCCTCCCTGCTTGTTAGGCGCCTGGTGTTTTTTAAAACAGTGTCTTGTTGTGGCACCCAGTTGCTCTGCTCCCAGCAATCTGACAGGCAATGCGCCTGCGTCAGTGATCTTCAGTCCTTCCGGACCCATTTGGGAGAGAGCCCCAAACAGCTGGCACCTTTGAATCCAACGTCCAGAAAGCACAGAACCAGGTATTGCCAATTAAGGAGCCATTCGGATGCTCCTATCAAAGCAGATCGCTTTCTGAGAACAGCCAGAGCTGGGGCCTAGAGAGAGAGGAGCCTTGAGTTTCACTTCACTGAGGGGGGTTGGGGGAGGGGGGGGGAAGGGATTTGAGTGGCCCGGCCCCATCAGAGCCTGGAAGTGGCAAGGAAGTGGATTTCTGCATTAGAATGTTGCATATGAGCAGCCGGTCTGCGCCCAGCGCCCGCTGCCTCTGCATAGCCAAAGGCCATTTTCAGGAGCCTCCTGCCCCTCAGTCACTGGCCTGCTAGTTAATTGCCACACGGACTTCATGACACATGGGCAGATAATATGACATTTTCGGTTTCTGTCACTAGCAAACGCCACAACGTTGCTTGCACTAGTTGCTAAGAAGCTGTCAGAAACCATTAGCGATTGGCCAAAGTCGCCCTATGGCATTTCCTCATAGCATCAGCAAAACGAGCATAAATCACCCACTGGAGCCTACTGCTATCCTAATGAGGCTGTAAGCTTGTTTATGGACTAGCATCATTTTTATGATTATTTCCACCTTTTCAGTTTGCCTTCATTTGGCGGCAGGAGAAGTCAGCTCCAGGAATGAAGTCACGGCTGACATTTTACAAATGTGGTTCAGAGCTGCGGCCTGCTGCCGTGTGGTTGGCCGGCGGTTCTCCAAGTTTGTTTAGTGATCTTAAAAATAAAAAAAGGAAATAAATCCTCCAGAGACCGCAGAGAGGTGACTGTATCCAATGGCAGCGTGAGTGGATGTGCTAAAGGTACAACTGACCCTGTAGACGGCCCTCAGAGGCGGGGACGTGGCGAGATCCTTTTTCAATTTTTAAAAAGTGGGGGAGGTTAAACAATTTATTAAAATCTACGAAAGTGTTTGCTTTTAGAATAGTGTGTTTTATTATGCTCTCTTCTCGGTCCCCATCTTCTCCATTTCCCTAACTTGTGTCGGGAAGGAGCAGGGTTTATTATTTTAGGCTTTTCTGAACATGCACCAGTATTTACACTGGATTGAAAGCATTTGCTTCCAATGAAAATCTTGTCTTAGATTACAACCCAGCAGTGTAATTTCCCTCCCAGATGGGAGTAAAGTAGCTGTATTTGCCTAAAAACAGTAGGAAGAACAAACTGTGCGTTAAGCCAAGGCTGTTTTTGGCTTGAGCTAATGATGTAATAGAAACCTTTTATTCGGGAGAGGTCACTGGCAGGGACTGAAGGGGGTGATCTGGCTCCGGCTTGAAAGGTTGCTCCATTGTATCTACATAAGTCTTCACTTAAAAAACTCTGTTCCTAATGCTGCTGCTTTCATACAGCAGAAATAAACAGGAAAGGTTCTGGCGAGTGTTACACATGGAATGCAGAAAGCCTTCCTCTCCTAATGGAGTATATAATTCAGGTGCCCTCAAGGCACGCTTTCAGGAATTCTTTTGCCCGAGGTAATGTGAAGCTAAGGCTGCTTTAAGGCCTTGATTATCTATTGATGCACAAAGCTGGAAAAAAGTCATCTCCGCTGGATTATAGTAGATATTTCCATAAATTATCAATGAATTCTCTTCTAGGCAGGCACTAGGCATTGCCTGCTAAATTAATCTGAGGGGGTTTGGAGATGGATAGAAAGGCTATTTTTTTTTTCTTTTTCTTTTTAAAGGTGGCAAACAATCATGGTGGTGAAAGACTGTGTGGTTAGGTTAGAAGCTTTTCATTTTTAATCAATGATCGAGTAATATGCTTCTTTTCCTTGGTTACCTTTTGCCTGTTGCAAGTGGATTAGCCCATTGAAATTTTAAATGCTGTTGAGTTGTTTTCTTTGCTCATGTTTCTTTAATGAATTGTTATTTTATATGGTGAATTGCTTCTCTGAATAAAAAGCCTCTTTAAATACTGGACTTACAAAGAATTTGTTAGGCAAATCCAAGGGGACGCTTTATAAAACACTTGGTTATGCAAATAAAGAGTTGGGTGGGATGGAAGGAGTACAGATTTAGGGATGGGAGTGTCTGGCCCAGCACAGACCCACCGCCTCCAGCCCAGGCGGGTGACCTTGGGCAAGTCACCCAACAGGAACACAAGCACTGTCCTCATCCATACACTCAGGGCTTTGGCACTGTGGGTCTTTATGATCTTTTCTGCTGAGAACACAGCTAGGATTCTGTAGGAACTTCAACTAAAATCTATGGATTTTAAGTACAATTAAATTTATGGATTTTTTAAATTAATGAAAAGTAAACTCTGAAAAGTTCTGCAAGCATTTTTGGGGGGAGCGTGGCTTATGCTGCAATCATAGCAGGAGCATTGAAATCGGTCTGTTCTTCACCCAACAAAGTTTTAAAACTTTAACTCAGTACCAGTCAAGGCTAGTTGGGGGGGTGGGTGGAGGGTCTCCTGAGGCAGCTGTAATTGATAATGATAACATAACTGCCATAGATTAGACTGAAACAACTGGAATTAAAAGAGAATTCTTTTTGTATGCTGTATATGTAGGCTACTAGAAATAAGGACTATGGGAATTCATGGAGCAACATACAGTCCCCGGGAAATGTGTCTCACCAAAATGTACCCAGTTCTTTTTGGGCTACGCATGCTGCTCTCCAGGGACTTTCGTGGCCCAGTGAATATGCTTCGAGGACTTTTGTTACCTCGTTGTGAAGCCTTGTTGCTGTAGCGCTTCTTTCTGGCCCAGGTCAACCTGTCCCTTTCTAAAAGCCAGCAGCTGCCACCAAAAGCTGGGGCTCCGGGTAGAGACGCATGCTTGAAGCTACTTTTCAGTGTAGTGGGTTTAGTTTGCTATTGTTTTTTCTTCAGCTTTTGCACTCAAACACCAAGTGCTTCCTTTTCATTTGTACCTTATGACTTATTTTGGACAGTGTGATTTTATGGGCTGAAAATGTTTTTTTTCTTATTAGACATGACATTGTAAAAGAAATCCTACATTTTAAAGTTTATGGTGTCACAAAGCCAAAATGTTTTCTAGGAGAAGGAGCTTAAATGTCCTACCAAAAATCAATAGAAAAATAGGATCCCATACACAGACATGTGTAAGCAGGTGACTTTTCAGTAAGAAAATTTACATGTAGAAAAAATTTTAGACACTGTCTGTATTGTTAGGGTAATATAATGCCAATGGACTGTTCATTTAACATCACTTTATTTGATTTAAATAGTCACTGTTTTTTAATCAAAAAACAATTTTGGGAGTTTTCCCTTACTGAACTCGATTCTCTCTTTCTATGACAAGAAAAATTATATTCTATTTGAAGCATTCCTATGTCAAAACTGCATATATGACAAATCACCTACATTTCCATGGCCTAATTTAGTCTTAAGATAGATCACTTGTGGAAATAGTTGATATCTCAGATGCATCTTCTCCCAAGTTGACATCAATGACTCCATGTGGGATTTGAATACCCAGGCAGGGGCCCAATTCTGCTAATGGCTTCCACCATATTTAACTCCCCAAAAGGAGTTACACTTAACATGTCTCAGCTATACACATTTGAATAATTACCATGGCAACAGAGCTGCTAGAGAGATTGGATATTTCCCTCCATTCCCTTTGACCTTTGCACTGTTCTTTGGAAGAAGTTCCTTAGACCTGACCGCTTTTGAGCCTAGGCCTTGTTCTTTCTCTTTGTCTTGGAAAAAAAAAAAGAAAAGAAAAAGAAAACAGTACCAAATAAACTATTAATCATTTATATTGCTCTTTTGGTTTTGTTTATATCCAAAGGCATACTATTTGAATAAAGCATGTCAAGGTAGCATCAGTCAAAATTTGATTCACTATGTTTGCAGGTGATGGCTTGGACAACAGTGTAGCTTCCCCCAGCACAGGTGACGATGATGATCCAGATAAGGACAAAAAGCGTCACAAAAAGCGTGGCATCTTTCCCAAAGTAGCCACAAATATCATGAGGGCGTGGCTGTTCCAGCATCTAACAGTAAGTGGATTCTAAATGACATATCTAAACTAAATATGGACGAACAGTTTTGATAGAAAAAAAAAATGGGGGAAAAGTGATCCCTCTGAACCTGGAATATTTCATAAATCATTGTCTTCCCACAGTTTTCACAAAAGTGTCCGCACTTATTTCCTCAAGACGTTACCCCCAATGAGGCGTTTGATTTGAAGTTCGCTATTGCAATGTTGTTAACTTTCATACGTTCTACGGTGTAGGAGTTCATGTGCACTTGTGATTTTAAGTATGTATGTTAATGATGTTGCTTCTCTCAGGGTGCCTCTTTAGCCCTTAGAACCAGCTCCCAGTAAGAAGCAAGTGAGACAAACCCCAGAGAGAAGGACTTAATTTCTTCTAATGCTTTCGCGGACCTTTATAACGAATGGTCCGCAAAAATTTCAATCTTGTTGCAATGGCAGGATGCGCACATAATTTGCTTTTAAGTGGTGTGAATGCACTGGCTGCCATTCCCAAACGCTCCTGTGAGTCAGAGCTGCACAGTGAAAGTGGCCCCTGTATTTAGAACTGTAAAGGAAAACAGCAATATAGAGGCAGCTCTTCCTGTGTAGTCCCTGGTGACTTTTCAAGCCGGGTAACAGTTTATATTGTCTGTGTGAGTATTGCTGTTTTCACTGCAGGAATTCTCCTGGAGATGTGAGAAACTGGAGATTTGGGGCTTTCTGCCACCGAGGGATTTGTTTGGTTTGGTTATTGTTCTGAATGAATTTCATGTTCAAAATATTTATAATCATAATATTGCGGTGGATATTTTTGGAAGTGCATACAGATTTAATGACATCCGAGGCAGAAGACAAAAAGAAAGTTTATGAGTAAGATAATATTTTAAAAATCAGCAAAATTGTTGACCCAGGGGACTGGGACTCTCACTCTGAGGGACAAAGGATGGGTTTAGACAGGTGGTAGCATAGCCCAGCCTAAGATGAACAAATACGAAGAATCTTGGCCTTTTAAAAATCTTAGGAGCAAACCTTTTATGTTACTATTTTTAGCATAGTTTACTTTTCTTATAGTCATACATTTTTCTTAAGTATTAAAAGTTAATTTTGCATCGTCACAAACGTGTCCTGACCTGTGGACCCTTACACCCTGGCCCACTCTCAAAGCCATGGTCCTCAGTGACTTGTTCTGATTCAGGGAGACAAACAGGACGTGGAAGGCCACGCTGGTGCTGCTCCTGTGGACAGAGGCTGTGCCTCCAATAACACTCGAGGGTGTACATTAACCCAGCGTGTGAATAAAATCAAAACTGAGAGCAGCAGGAGTCACTAAAAAACATGGTTTCCACCCTTCATTTCTTCCCATGGTGATTCCAAACAGTTACTAGATGATGTTGACAGTTTGGAATCAGCTCTAGGGCTTGGTGAATGCTGGTAGTTAGTTGAAGATTTAGATTGCTTAGCTGATTTTAACATCCTGTTTATTAGGTTTACCTACCATCTGATTCAGGTGCCATTACCTAGCTGACACTCGTTGCTGTACGTGGATAGTTTGAGACCTGCCTTGTGCACGTCTGCTACTGAGGACTATCAGGTACTACTGAAGGGGAGATGGGGCACTAGGGTCTAGGGGGCTTTTAAAGCCAGCAGGAGATGAGAAGTGGTAGTTGGTCAATAGTGCTGATGCAACCCTGCTGATATTTCATCACCTGTGCTAACCAGCTAGCCTGAGCTGGAGGATGAGCGTGGGGAGGGGACAAAGTCAGGTCCACCCTGAATATTTCTATTTCCTGTACTAACAGAAAAAAATGAATAGATTTTGTCAACCTCCATCTCAATCGGCAAAGGAGCATTGGCTTTATTTGCAGCTCAGGTGCCCCTGAATAAAATATAATCAAATATTGGTTCAGATAGAAGCAGGAGAGAGAGAAGCAAGTTCTTTTATGCATCCATCAGGTTTCCTAGGTTATATCCTTGTGAAGGACCTTGCAGAGAGCTATATTACCTCCTTTAAAAAACAAAGAATTCCTTTTAACAGCCAGCATGACTTTACCTGCATTGCAACGCTTTCAGTGGTACATATTATTGGAGTGATTGTAATAGGAGTTATTCTTGAACTGCCCAATTTCCTTCAGTGTTGGGGTCTGTTCTGGCCGGTATCGCTACCCTGGAAGGGGAACCCATTTCCATGTCTCCCTGGCTCTCTATGGATGCTCATAAACATCACCCCGTGGTTTGTTGGATAGCTCCACATGCTCCTGCCCCATTCCACTGTCATCTACTCAGACAAAAATATTGATAATGGTAATGGTCTCTAAAAAGAAAGTGCTCTCATAATATCATCTAAAAAGCAAAGGTAGGAGGTATATTTAAAATTTTTTTCCCTCTTTCCCCATTGAGGAAGATTTCCTTCCCCTTTCTCTAGTTGCAAGAGCAAATAGATCTCCAGTTATAAGAAACACCCTTCTCCTTGTCTTGTTGTACTTCTTGAAGGAGTGTACAGACTGCTTAGGTAATATTTATAGTCAGGAGCTGATTATAATAAGTTCTATGGAAAAACCTATAGAGTTTTGTTGTGATTTGTCCCAATGTGAGTCACTACTGACATCTCAGTACTAATCCGTTAGCAACTTCATTTCAAGTTCTGAGAGGTCTCCAGGGATGCACAGTTCATTTGGAAGACTGTACAAATTTTAAACGTAACACATTCTTGCTCGATGATTAATGCAACTTATCTAGAAAATTTTTCTTAAATCTTGCTAGATATAAAAGAGCAATGGAAACTGGCTAATTGAAACAATAGCAATAATAATTAATTAGAAAATTGTAAAAACCAATCTATTAAATGCCAAAGACATATTATAAAACTTCACGCACTTCTTTAAAGGCAAATTGCGATTTGTTTTCTTTTTCAAATAAATGGGTCAATCTTTTCACTGGGCTTATTCAGTTGAAAACAAAATCTGCCTTTGAAAGGGCTTTGAAGCATTTGTGTGTTAGAGCAGTAGAATAGGCCCCGAATTTTTTAGAAAACCTTCTGGATTTGCACCCCAGGTGCATAAGAAAATGTGTCGTTCTCTGGTTATCCACAGGTAGATTTAATCAGTAGCACATTTGACTACTCCAAAGAGAGAGTTAAAGCTTCGTTCTTGGACTCACAGTCTCTAGCAAGCTCAACTGGACATACGTGTGCATAATGAAAACAATGAAAGAAAAAGGAAGAGATTTTAAACTTTGGTGTTATGGGGTAAAAAGAAATTTCACTGATGTAAATTTTCAGCTTAGACTACTTAGTTGAGCATTTGCCAGTTTTGCTAACTAGAGAAGGTCTCTTAAAAAGAAACTATTCCCTGGGATTGAAAAGAAAGAGTGACATGTAGATAATAAAAGAAAATTAGAAAGAAAATAAAAGCATTTATTAATTGAAATGCTTGCATTTGCCTGCAGACAAATTATTGCAAACAATTAAAAAGTACTTAATAGTGCCATATTAGTCACTATAGAGTGACAGTTCAGGGGCATACGCCACATCAAGGTTTCTTTTCCTTTCTGAAGGGCATTATTCCAACTGTAAATATAACCTGCTGTGTTGTAATGTTTAAGCTGGATGTGTTTTTCATATTAGCGGTTATTTTGCTACACAGTGCCCTAGTGAAAATGAGGAGAAGGAATAAATACAATGTTTAAGGTAAAAATCAAGTCTCCCCCCCACTACCCTAACATATTGCAGGTTTAAATATAATCTAAATAGAAAAGCGGTTAATATGGTTCTTATTTAAAATATGCAGTGACATATTTTCCTGCATGGAGCTGCTGTGTGTCCCAAGAATCCTGAAAGTAAGAAGAGTGGAGGTTGTTAAAATGCATCCCTGCAGATTCAGGGGAAGGAACCATTCAAGGAGTGGCGCATCTGGTTGGCACTGACCAGGAGGGAGGTGACCCTCAAGGAGAATTGATTTTCTTTCGAATTCTCTTGGATTCCCTACTCTTTCACTGATATTGAGGATCCTATTGGCTACTATAGAGACAAACTTTGTTTGCAAGTCAGATACACATAATTTGCTATTTGGTTTTGTTTTGTTTGTTTGTTTTTGTGAATTGAGAGCCTAGAATTTTTGTTTGTCTGTAGCCAAATTTGTCTCCGTTTCTTAATTATAAGATTTTCTTTTCTCAATTCAGATAAAGTCTATGTGAGGGGCAATAGAATCTTCCAGGTTGAGGATGGCGTTTCCATAGAAACACTATTAGATGAAAAGTGCCCTGTGGGTCTGCCATTCTAAGGATGGAGTAAATGGAATTGAATTGGGAATTGAATGTTCTAGAAGAGACAGATGTTGTTTCATTGGTTTTGCTTTTGGTAATAAGATCGGTTGGAGACATCATAGTGTGATATCTCTGCTTGCAATTTTGGAAGAATTACTCTGTAAACATTAGGAATTATTTTTACAATGAAAATGTCCTTCTAATTGGTACCCAGATAATCCCATTCTGCTGATCCAGGCGAGCACAGTGTTGATCAAAAGGTAGCTGGGTAGGCATGTAGACAGAGTAGAAGGCCTTTGCTCCTCTCCTCCCATTTCTACTTCTCTCTGATCCTCATTTCTATACTTGGCCAATTTTAACAATGAATCTTCTTATTATGTCTTACCAGCTAGCGTCCCTTCAGCTACCATTCATCCTAAGAAGGTAGCAAACAGGAAGACTATGTTTTGGAATTCTTGCCTGCAGGGTAGTACAAAGTATTACCTTCACACTAGGCCTAACCCATCTTCTTGAGCCAAGGAAGGCGGTTGGTGACTCCTTCCTCACTATGTTATCTGCAGATAGATTATTAAATTAGGAGACTTCAAAACTAGTATGAAGGAGATTTTTTTTCCCTTCCAGATGTCCACGTACTAATGAAAAAATGAGCTCTCTCAAATCTGTAAGAAGAATATCTTTGCAGTTATTCTTTTTTCCATTGCATGGCATTGTCCTTCCCCTTCACAGGCCTTAGTCATGATGATGGGTCACAGCTAGGCTTTG